TGTACGCAGTAGCACCCGCTGGGAGACTCACCCATCATTTCCAGGTGCGCGATGCAGGTCGGGTCCAGATTAGTCGGAGCGAAGCCCGGATACCGGGCAGGAAACCAAAAAAAAAAAAAAGTGCTTTGGCATTTCAGGTTCTTAGTTTGTATTAATCTAGATGGCTACGGTTTAACTTTTTCAGAGAAAAATGTCTCGACTTGCATCTATTGAGAGTAGAGATGAGAGCATTTCCTCTGATCAAGAGATTTCAGTGTGTGACGATGAGATTCAAAGTAAAGATGATAATGCCATATCTGATGATGAAGCTGAAATAGTTGATTTGATTAATAGAGTTGAACAATTGAAGAAAGAGCGTTCTATTCTTTGGTTGCGGGAATTCAAAGAATGGATGGATCATACTTCTGAGAATTTTGTGGATGGCAGTAATCTTACTGGGGCTAAACTGTGGGCTGAGAAAGAAAATTATAAAAAAGGCAAGAAAAGTGAGAGCCATTTTGGTGAAAGTTCCAGATATATTTTAGATTCTAGTCAAGCTTCAGGAGATGAGAGCAGTAGAAATGTTTTAGAGTCTGACAGTTCATTTGCAGACATGTCTTCTAGTGTACATGTGAATCGATATTTTGATCATGTTGGTTCCATGGGAATTGCTGGTGGGGTCTCTCTGCCTGGCATGAGGACAATGGACCTAAAACAGGAGCATCAAGAATCATATTCACAAAAGGAGATTGGTAGTCTGTCCATTCAAACTGAGAGTTCCCATTTTAATACCTTCACCATCCAAGGTGGTAATAGGATGGCTGAACATGAAGCAAAACAGAATACAATGGATGATGCAACAGAATCTCATTCATTCCCTTCTTACCCTGGATCTCCACCTCAATATCAAGAGGACCTTCTGCATCGTCGCCACAACTTAGTGGAGGAAATCTTGCAGTTATCTGCAGAGTCCTATTCAGTGGCATCATCTGATAGTGATACTAGCTGTAGTGAAGATGATTTCTGTGACTCTGGGACATCGATGCCAGAACATCTGAACAAGACTGTTGGAAGGCATTCTGCTTCAGATGCTTCTGGAGATGATTATAGGAATGGGTCTCCCCACATAAGAGAAAATGGCATTTGCTTCAATGATTCAGGTGCTGAACAAACCTTTACTAATTTAGAGTTTCTGGATGTTGACAAATCCCCACAATTGCACAGCAATGACTTCGACTCTGGTGCTCATTGTTCTGAAGTTGATTGTTTTGGCAACCAAGAGGCTAATTGGTTAGACAAGAGAAAAAACAGAAGGAAATCGAAAAAAAGGGTTATTTCTTTTGAGGATGAGAAACATATGGTTGGTCATGCTCAAAGACTGCAAAAATTAAATGGAAGTCCAGATGCCAGTTCTGCTGATGTTGAAGGTGAGCTAGGGAAACAAAATTTTGATGAGGATGAACACAAGAAAGTTATTTATAAGGAATGGATGTTGACAAATGCAACTAAAACAAATCTGATCGATGATTCTAGTAGATACTGTGGTGCTATTTGTTCGTCTACAGTGGTGGATGATTTTATTGAGGACTACTTCAATAATAATGTTGCAGATCTCAGAGTTCAGGAGACTTGTAGGCAGTATATGCGCTGCAATTGTATACTTGATCACTCTGTTTATAGAGAACGGTAAGTATCATCTACATGCTTTTTTATTATTTTAAGAAGTCTGCAGAAGTTTTTTTTATTAAGTGTAAGGAATAAAAATCTCATTACTAATGTAGGATAAAAACTATTTGTGGATGGATTGGAATTGGAAATACACACACACATCCACACGTGTTGACACACACACATGTAACCACATGCAGTATTATGCATTATTTGAAGTTAGATCCAGTGAGCAGCTGCTTGATATGGTGTTCCACTTTGATACTTGTTATAAATAAAAAAGTGGACATCTCTGTTTGGCCAATCTCAGAACTGTCAATCCCTTGTTCTTGCATTAGTGCATATATCAAATTGATTTTGTCCCTTAGTTGTCTTTTTTTTTCCACTTTCAAATTGGTTATGCAATATGCATGACAGACATACAGCTAATTTAAGTACAAAATATGGGTGAAATAAAGCTTAATATTCTTCCCTATATGTAATCCAAATAGCACTAGTTAGCAAATTTTTAAAAAAGAAAGAGAAGTGTCTGAACTACAAAACTGATATCATTAAATTATATTATGTAGTCATATTTGATAATCATATATTTTGATACCCCTTTTTATTTTGAATTAATATGGCGTAGGTCAAAGACTCCTTTCTTGTTATTGAGAAATTTGCATTTATATATTCTAATATTTCTTCATTTTTATTTTTTCATCGACTGCAGGGAAGTAGCTCTTGTACTTAGCAGTGAGGACAAGTTATATGTGCTGCTGATTGGTGTCAGATTTGATGGATCAGGTTGGATTATGGAGTAGTTCTTTGCATTGGGCATTCTTTTTCTTGATATTATTCTTAGTATTGATTACTTGGACTACTACCTTATTTTAACATTTGCTTTGGTGGTCTTTTCAGGGATTATCCTCAGTTTATTAGGACACCATAGAGTTGGAGATATACAAGAGATTGTAATTGGTCTAGGTTTTCAGGTTGTGAGGTTAGTGATTTCGAGTATTTATATAGCAGTCAAAGAATTAATTCCTCCTCTAAAACCAAGTCTTTCTTTTGGTTGCTTAGGGTGCAAATTGAGGGGAGTGCAGCCTATTTGTTCCTAACAAGGAGCATTGAAAAATCAAGACAATTACTTTGTACCTTGGATGTCTTTAATTCATGTGCACCAAATGATAAATGCACTTTAAGAAGGTGAGTTTGAGGTACTTCTTTGATTTCAACATGATAATGCTGAAACTGAACTTGTGTAGTAGCTATGCCATCACTTGTTCTTTAGTTTTAAGGCCAAACCCCATATTTGTACCTTGCACATTATTTTTTCCTGCGGTCAACACCCTCAAGAGTTTTTACTCCTTGTCAACACCCTCCATAATTTAAAACCCAAAAAAAACCCAAAAATTAATGGTCAAATCCCCCTATGTGCAAATAGGGGGTTTGGCCTAGTTTTAAAATCAGTATCTTCAATGTTGTCCTATATAGATTTTTTCCTTTGTTATGAAGAATGGGTTTTGGAATTTAAATGGCAGTTTGGAGCAACTTCAAGTTGGACTGTTTGACAAACAAATATGTGGAGGTTCAAAATTAAACATGTACCAGTATTCCATGGTACACTTTTGGCAAAGTGGTGAAGAAGGTACCTAACTTATCTCTGATTTGAACTGCGCTTAGAAGTTGGTCATTTTCTAAACTATCCATAAACAAAATCCATGTCTTGTCAAGGCTTCCACATCATTTTATATTTTCTCATGAGTCCTGCACATGCAAAAGATGCAGTAATTGTCTGATCCATTTGTTTATTTGTTTCTATTTATAACAAAATTCTTAAGTTTGGGGTGAATGAGATTAATTAATTATTTTGTTATAACAGAGGAGAAATGAGTAAGGGAAAAGTTTTTAATTATTGTAGCCATGCAATTATAGATATGTTCCTATCTACATATGCAAGTTTAGATGTGTTTATGTCCATGCAAAGATGGTTTCTGTTGTCAAATTCCAACAATATTGTTTGTCATCCACAGATATCGTACATAATTTGTGATAATCAATCTAGTCTTGTTTTAAAACTAAACAGAGGGATCATGGCTCTCAAGATCACTGTTTGTTATTGGAGGACATGTGATTGTGTGCATTGAAGACCTTAAGCAGTTCAGCACTCTTTCAAATGATGCGAACTCACGTCCATATTTCTTGCTCAATTCATGTTGCAGCATCACTGACGTGTCTGAAATGGTAATTTCTTAATTCACCTAAAGCTTGTTTTAGATATTTTCCAAGTTTCTAAGTACTTTTACTTCAAAATGCCTCTATTATATATCGTAAATAAAAGTATTTAAGATGCCAATCTGGTAATTACCTTTAGACTTGTTTGGCAATTTTCATTCTTGGTCAATAATTTGCTCAATGTTCTGCGAAGTGACAATGTCTCTGTCATATGTACCATTGTACCAAAGTAAAAAGGGAAACAAAAAGAAAAAATTCTTTTTTTGTTAATCAGAGAATGGGAAAGGGGGCTGCTGAAAACTTGCAATAATGGATCTACACATTCTTTTAGATCTTTGAAATGGATGTTACTTTCAGATTGTGTCCTGTGACTCATAAAAGTGTCATTGATTGGCGTCAATAACTTGAAAGAAATTTATCATGTTAAGCAGTGTCGTAAAAGGCCTGTTCAACCACCTTGTCTAGTTATCAAGGCATTTTGTTGTTGATAGAGTAAGGATACTTGAATTGCAAGATAATAATTCTTCGAAGGTTATAACTTCTTTTTTTTTCTTTTTCTTTTTTAGTTTGTTGACGGAACACACATGTACATTAGATTAGTTTGTTTAACAAACTCTAGTAGTTTTAATTTATGACAATGACATTGATGGACTTTCTTTCTTCTATCTACAAGTACTGACAAGATGATTATGTAGAGAAACAGTGAACAATCTATGTAAAGAAAATTTTAAATTTTCCAAAGGCACAAGTGTATGTTCTTTGCTTGTCTTAAGCCAGTTCTCTGTTGCTTGTGTCGAATTTTTCCTGGTTTTATCTCTTGCGTCTTGGGGAAGAAATATCCTCTTGCTCTTCTGCTAAGATACAGTAACATTCACCTTTTGTTTTGGTTGAGGTGGCCCTGCTGGTTGAAAAACTAATTTTATCTTTGTTTTTGTTTACACAAACAGTGATTGTGCCTTTTTTTTTTTTTTTTTTAATTTCTTAAAATTTTCACTTTTGAGATATGAATTTACTTGCATAAACTGTATTGTAATTGAGAACTGGACTCTATTTTCAGGTCATTGGCAAAAGTGAGAGCTGGTGCGTGACATTAATTCTTGAACGCTCTAGATCATGTTTCCTTGGTTCTACCAAAGGGCACAAGGAGGCTGCTGCAAAGGAGAAGAATTCAGCATGCTCTCACACATGGAAACTAAAGTGGTTTTCTGAAGAGAGTCTATTCCAGTTTGTAGCATTATTGAAGGCAATCCATCTTGGAACAACTCCATCTCCTTTGCGTGTAAGATGTCTATCATGAAACCCTTTTTTTAGGTCTTTTTCTTCCATATTCATTTCATTCTTTTTGAGCTTTCATCTGGTCTGTCTTCTTTCCCCACAATTCTGCACCTTCGTTGAAGTAAGATGCGTTTAGTGTCTTTTCACTGCCTGCCTTGATGCTGCGAGTTTGTTACTTCCCTTTATTTTTTGATTCTTTAGCCTTTTTTTTTTTCCTAAAAAAAAAATTATGGCTGATCTTTTTGCTCATGTACAGATGTACAGTACAGAATATGAAATGTAACAATGTTGTCCCAACATATTTTTGCATTAGTCTTGGTGTTGTGTCCGATATCTAAACAGATTTCATGCCCATCTTTGTTTTTGTTTTTTTTTTCTCCTTTTCTAATCTAGTATTCTTTATTCCATTTAAGAAAATAATACACAACGAGTGGTTTTCTGCTTCTGTTTTTTTTTTTTTTTTTTTTTTTTTTGGGGGGGGTGGGGGGAGACCCATCCTCAAGGAGTGTTCTTTTTGGGGCAAAAAGGAATGAAGCATTTTACCGTATGTTCCATCTCTTTTGTGCCATTCATTTGTTGCTAATTTTGAACAAGCAAACAAGTAATGACCTCTCATCTTTGTTATGGCTTTGCATTTGGATGATGAGTGAAACTAAAATGCTTAAAAATCATATTCACATGCCTTTTCTTCTGGACTATTACATACAGCTATAAATAATAACAAACTGTGGCTTAATTTTAGAGTATCTTTTGTGTACTGCCTATTTTCACAGGGCCTTGCATTGCGCCTTGATTTCTATCAAAATTCAATAAAAATACAAAATACCAGCCCCCTACCAGGGCTTTAGTTAACTTGCTCGCCACCACTACCAAGGCCTCTTTTTTCTTCTTCAACTTGTTCAAGCAATGCCTCTAGTTCAGCTTCTGTTAAACCTTCCAACCTTTTCTGCAAAACCAGAACACAAACCAGACATTTTTAATCATTGAGAGTGCTGGCGACACTCTCTGACACTCCTTTGAACAAAGAAATGCATCAATATCTGAGATATTAATGCTAAAAATTGGAAGAAAAAAAAAAAATGGAAGTGAATACCTGCATGACTTTGTTTTCATAGTCGCGTAGTTGTTGAGCATAAGTCATTTCCTTGTTTGAGACCCTAAATATATATGTTGAGATCCATCCAACTGTGAGGCCTAAAACTAGTACCAACTGAACTACGTTTCCAGCTTGTAGAGGATCAACTCCAGCAAACTGCACAGGCATAAAAGGGATACGCATAATTTGAACGTGTTACCAAGGCTATGCTAAATGAAAACCAGTTCTCAGATTTCATTATCAAATTACACATAAATCTGGTCGTTTTGATGTGTGTGTCGAAAACATTGGACCATGCTAAATGATAAACTAACGAAAGAACTGAAAGGAGAAAAACATGATGTTAAAATCAGCTGAAAAAGAAATTCAAAATGAGTGTAGCAAGACAAGAAAACCAAGATACCTCCAATCCACTTTTCAAGCCAACACCGAGAACAGTGACTCCGACACCAATCAATAAAACATCCTTTCTTGTGTATCCAAAAGGTGTCTGCCCAAAGAACAGGACAAGGAGAATATGAATACAGCATCCAAGTCAATAAAATCAGAAGCAAGAAAAAACCTTTAACCCCCTTGAATGATTGTATCCAGACTTCATGAGTTCTATGGAGCCAATGCAAATTAGCAGCATTCCCAGTGAAACTTTTGTAATCCTCTAAGTTTTTAATTTATTAAAGCTCCAAGTCTGACTATTGCAATTTAGAGAGCCATACCAGCATCAGAAAGAAGCTAGTGACTCTCTCTCCCTCTCTAGAATCCAAAAGAAGGAAAGAAGTCCCATGCTTGTTTCTATTACAATTTATAGAAGGCGAGGATCATCAGCAAAGCTGAACCATGAGCCACAGAAATCTATCAAGCCTCACTGATAGAAAGATTGTGAAGACTCCAAAAATTCACATTGTGAGGAAAGGATATGTTTCCAATCTAGATATGTCTCAAATTTTATTTTTCTGATAACCTGGCATAGCAGCTTATTATCAGTTATGAGAGTATCTTAAACATACCTTAGTTTCATTGGAGGATTCATCTGTACTATTATTGGAGTTTGAGGAACTGCTACATCTGGGGGTACTGAACATTATTTTCCTTGACCTACTGTTTTTTAATCCATGAAATAGTGAAGCTTCCTTGTTATATGATCTCTGAGAAATGCTTGTCCCTGAAGAATAGTATAAGGAAGAAGAACAATCAGGTAAATCACGAGGAGAACCATAATATAACTAATCACAAACCCTTCAAATGAAACTGAAATAGAGTGTGGAAAGAAAAGAACAGAAGTATCAATAACAGCCGGGATTTGGGAAAAGCTAAACATGCATTGATAACACAGTATGGATATTATAAATGCAAGCCAACCATAGTCTTAGGTTTTGAAATGGGAGTTTTAAAGATGCTTCAGATAAGTTGTTGTAGCTACCGTCTATTAAAGCTAAGGGGTAAACTCGAACAGAAGTATGAAAGTGCGGATCTACTCATCAAATTTTTCCCTAACTAGCCATGAAACAAAACTGAGCTTTTAAATATGAAAAAGCTGATGAATTTGAAATTGAACAAAGGAACAAGAAGTTAAGAATCAAGGATAACAACTGACCCCTTATGTAATTACCATTAGGTATAGAACCCAGATGTAAAAATGGGACACCCGAAGTTCCCACAAAGGAAATGGTCTTCTCCGTGCATAAAATGGCACAATTTGGATTTCCAGGCAAAAAGCAAGACATTTCTGTAATACCCTTTTGCTATCAAACTAACACAGACATCTGCAGCAACAAAAAAATAAACAATTAAAGGAAAAAACTCCAAAGATGATTACGTATCAATATCATAGTTTAAAATTTGTTTCAATGCATCATAAAAATCATTAAAAAAATAAAAATAAAAAGAAGAAGAGGAAAATGAAAACGAAGCACAGCAAGTGAGCATAGTAGTACCTGGATGAGGGAGGAATGGGTGGCTGGCAAATTGGCGCGTTGCATCCTAATATCGGCTGGGTTGCACGTGCACTCCACGTGACTAGTTAACTAATTAACTAATTAATAGGATAAACTGTTTTCGCTCCATTCTGTATTTTTTAATTTTTTGGCTAGGTTGGATGAGGGGTCGCGGAGCCCGAAATTGTTGTTAGGGTTTATTTTTTTATTTTTGGTGGCAAAGGAAGTTTATGGTTAAAAAAATTACAAAATTTAAGATTAAATTAATGAGTAATGATAAAGAGGACGAAATTGAGGGATAACAAGTGATGGAAGGAGTCAAATTGGTAATTGCACCACATGCTTGAATTCTCCCATCACTTGTCGTCCTCCAATTTCGTCCTCCTATTTTGTCCCTTCCATTGTTACTCTAAATTAATTATATGTTACAATAAAAATTTATAACTATATTTAAGTCAAAAACTAATGACTTAAATATTATCAAATCTAAGAATAAGGTCCTAGATCATTGATGAGTTCAAACCTCGGCAATGAAGTAATTTACAACTACTAGGAGCATAATTTTTTAAGTAACTAATTAATATATTATATTTCAAAAAAAAATTTAAAGTATAAATTAATATATAATGATTGATATGTCTAAAAGATTTTTAAATTTAAATAAAAATTAAACAAACTTGAAAAAGGATTAAATGTTTAAAAATAATACATCAAATTATTATTAAAGAAATAATTCTTGAAAATAAATAAGATAATAATTCAAACAACATAATTTAATTAATCTTCATTTTTCCTAATCTTTTATAGCATCTCAATTTTCTAATCTTCCTAATCGTCACCTAAAGCATCCAATTAATCATCACCTAAAGTTCCCAATAGATCAATAAACAAAATGATCAAAAAAATATGAAATATTAAATGTAAGGATAAAAATAATTAAAAAAAATAATGGGCCAAATTTACTTTAATTTCAAACTTAAAAACCCACAAAATAATTTTTTTTCCAAAGCCAGGTGCACCACCCCCTTAGCCACAACGTGACTTTGACTAAGAATTATATAATAAAAATATTTTTTAAAAATATTTTTCCTTGATTATTTAACAATTTAAAGTTAAAATTTTTAATATAAAATTTTAAATTTTTAACTATTCAAATTTTACAACGTCTCTTTAGAGGCTAGTCTATATATTCTATACTTAAACTCAATTCGAGAGTATTTCCACTAAATTTTTTTCACAATACCTTCCCAAAAATGTAATTTATTATTTTTAATTAATTTAAATTAATATTTTATATATTTTTAGTAATTTAAA